ACTCCCAGAATTCCCCAGCCAGCATTCGCTGGCTGGGGAATTCTGGGAGTTGAAGTCCGGACATCTTCAAGTTGCCAAGGTTGAGAAACACTGTGGTAGAGAATCCAAGGAAAGGAAGGCGGGGCCTGCGACGAGCGGGCGTGGCCAAAGGGAGGGCGTGGCCCAGCTGGATTGTAATGTCAGCTCTTTGGAAGAAGGCGGAGCTATCTCCTGCCAGGGGACCACGCCCCTCTTTCTAGAGCGATCTATTCGTGGCGGGGGAGGGGAAGGGCCGTACCATTTTTAAGAGCAGTCAGATGGTGTGGGTTTTTTTTCCCCTGTACGAAATCCACCGCGCCGCTAAACGCGGCCTCGCGGGCCCTCCTGCTCCACCCACCCACACTCTTCCACTTGGTTGTTCCCTCCGTCCCCCTTTTTCCCTCCTCCACATGGCCCGCTCCAATTTTGACGCATTGCAGGTGAGAGGCGACCAATGGCCGCGGGAGTCTCATCCTGCGCCTCCTCCGGCGGCCAATGGGAGCGCGCGAAACAATCACGAGCTCGCCATCCTGTGTCCTTCCGCCGGCGGGCGACTGCAGGGGAGGGGCGGGACGGGAAAGAAGCGCGAGGAGCCAGCCAGGGGAGGAAAGTAGTCCCCCTCGGCCCTCTCCCCGCCCCGCAGGGAGGAAGTGGGCGGGGCCGGCCGCAGGGGCAAGCGCGGATTGGGCGCCGTGGCGTCCGCGGGGCGGGGCGTCGGGCGCGGTGGGGGGGAAAGAGGAGGCCGCGTCGGGGCGAGGCCGGAGGCGGCCGTTGGCGGAGGGATCCGGTGCGCGCAGTGAGGCTCCGTGAAGCGGCCCTCGGTGCGTCCGGGCTGGTGCGGCTCCTGCCTCCCTCGCGACGCCGTTGCTGTCCTCGAAGCCTCCGGACGCCGCCGCCGCCTCGCCAAGCCGGACCCGACAATGGTGAGGTGACAAGCGGGCGGCTGCCGTCGCGACTTTTCCGGGGAATTGGGGACGGACTACAACGCCCATGCTTCCCGGCTGGATGGGTTTTGTAGTCCAATAACCCCCCCCCCCAAAAAAAAAGAGGGTTTCAGGGGCTGCCTGGTTACTTATGGGGGGGAGTTGTAGGAGGAGGGCTGCGGGAGGGGCGGTGAGCGGGGTCAGGCCCGTTAAGGGGGCAGCTAAGGAGTGGGGGGGGCGA